CTATTCAAAGTTACAATAGTGCGGAAAGTACTATTGTAAGTAACATGGACAGTTTTCATACTTAAAGACCGCTGCAGTATCCCCATGGTTATGTGATCAAAATTTGGATGTATGGCAAATGGCATGTATTTATGACAGTTGCAGTGTCCTGGGGTCATGTGATCACTTATGACAAACAAAGTCAATGGGGAAGCCAGATTCACTCAATAACCATGTTACTAACTTAACAACTCCAGAGAGTCACTCAACAACTGTGGCAGGAAAGGTTGTAAAATGGGACAAAGTTTACTTAACAACAATCTTGCTTAGCAATGGAAATTTTGGGCTCAATTGTGGTCATATGTCGAGGACTACCTGTACTTACACCTGTACTTACATAGTCAATGCTTCTTTCAAGTGTACAGGTTTCCTTGTTTGTGTGACAGCCATGACCTTTTTTGGGGTATATTTTAACATTTGTAGCTAAACTGACTTAATGGAAGAATACTAAAGTTGAACTTTACACAGCTATATTAAGCATACCTTGGGGATTTTAAAGAGGCCTTTGGAAAGAAATTTGCTAAGAAGTAAAAATCCATAGTGACCTTGCCATTTGGGACATTGCAGTAGAAGGGCTTTGTACTTTTATACAGTGTGGCATATGGGTTTTAGCAGCCTGGCATAACTGCTGTTCTGCGGGCATGAGCCAGCCACTGGAGTGAATAATAAAAGGGGAAAAGGAAAGTAACTTTTGGTCTTGAAGGTCAAATGCACTGTCATGAAGGCTGATGGGCTGACTGGCTGCTAGTCAACGCTAGTCCCATTGCTCCAACCTGCTATACAGGTGTGGGGAACTAGAGAACCCTTCTGGGAGATATGCTGTTGATCTAACCTAAAACCTGGAGACAGAGAAGAGGAGAAGACAGAAATAGAAGAGAAGGAGAAAGAAACAAGAGGAAAAAGTCTATGCATAGAGTGCTTGAGAAAAAAGCTGGAGAGAGAAGTTAAGTGCTCAGAGCAATTATAGCATCCTGGCTGGGAAGAAAGAAGGAAGGTCTAGAGATGGCTTGCCTGAAAGAAGGGAAGTGAAGAATCAGAGGGACAACAGCTCCATTCAAGACCAAGAGAGGGACAATGGCTTCACCCAAGACCCAAGAGGAAAAGTAGATCTGCTCTTGAGGATGAAACTCTGGGCTCTGGGGGAGATCTGAGTAGAAGATCCTGAGAGGTTCTTACCCCAACAGAAAAGCAGTAATTCTTCAGCAGGAGAGAAAGTCAAGACACATGGAGTAAATTCCAGCCTATTCCTTTAATTTCAGTCTCTCTCTCTCTCTCTCTCTCTCTCTCTCTCTCTCTCTCTCTCTCTCTCTCTCTCTCTCTCTCTCTCTCTCTCTCTCTCTCTCTCTCTCCCCCTCTCTCTCCTGACAAGCCAAGAAATGGAGGAGGGAGATGAAGAGAAAGGGTGAAGAAGTGGGATAGACTCTGGAAGGGAGGCTTAGGTGGAAACTTGACACTGGGAGAATACTAGTACTGGGTTGCAAGTAATGTAAATATTTGCTGTAAATAATGTCACTGTTTACAGTAAGAGGCACAAAAGCCTCCACTGTCTTATTCTTCTATGGCAGTTGCCACCTTGCAAGTAGTGCACTTCCAGTTCAAAGAAGCCTGTCACACTGTGACACCCAGCAAACTATTGACTTCTCACAATGTAATTGTTTCTGTAAGCAAGAAATACGTCATAGGATCTTTGAAAAGGGGAAGATCAAAATAACACTGCCTATATGTGCAAGGAATCTTGCCCACAGCCTCTAATGTTTAAAAAAGATGTCTTTATGTGGAAGAATAAAAATTGGTCAGACGACAACCAGCTACTGAGGATTCTCTCTGCTGGATCTCAGGGTATCATCAGAGATATCACTTCCATCAATGTTTATAAATACAATGAACACAATGTTACTAACTGGTTATGTCATTCATGAGACGCACATGAAAGAAGTGGCAATCATTCCTCAAGCCACATCTTTTGTCGGAAAGTGTTATATCGAAATTAGCACTTGAAATTTTGTTCAGAAGGTTGTAGGAAGGACACCAGAGAATATGCAGAGCTCTGTAATGAGTGAGATGCATAAATTAGATTGGAAATAAAATGAATGTTGTAGAAACAATCCCATTGTTATGCAAAAGCTCATTTAGTTTCAGTCCTAGAATAGTTGCTTCCTTAGAGAAGGGTGGTTTCTAATCTCATAGCTAGAAAGAATATTCTGTTTTATAAAAAAATCAGTATTATCAATTTGATCAATTTATTATTTGGTTGAGGATATCAAAATGGTCAGAAAATTTCCATTTCTGAAAAATGAATATGCACTTTCAAGCATTTTGTTTATCTGTTATGCTCTTTTTTCATTCATTCTTTGACAAAGTGACTAAATTAGTAGACTAGCAAAATGCTGTGCACATAGTATACTGAGACTTCAGCAAGGCATTCAACAATGTAAACCACAACCTACTTCTTCATAAGCTAGAAAAATGTGGGATAGACAGCAACACCACCAGATGGATTTGTAACTGGCTGACAAACTGCACTCAATGAGTTGTCCTTAATGGTACTGTATCTACATGGAGGGAAGTAAGCAGTAGGGGGTCCACAAGGATCTGTCTTAGGCCCAGTATTCTTCAATATCTTCATAAATGACTTAGATGAGGGAATAGAGGGGGAACTCATCAAATTTGCAGATGACACTAAGCTGGCAGAAATACTGTAGCTAATACCCAGAGGGCAAGCTCAGGATCCAAAAAGATCTTGACAGACTTGAACAATGGGCCCTATCTAACAAAATGAAATCTAATGTGGAGAAAAGCAAGGTTTTACACTTAGGCAGAAAAAAACCAAGTACAGATTAGGTAAAATCTGGCTCAAAAACTGTGAGAGGGACCTTGGAGTCCTAGTGGAAAGTCACTATGAGCCAGCAGTGTACAACAACAGCCAAAAAAGCTATACAATCCTTGACTGTATAAACAGAGACATAGAATCAAAATCACGTGAAGTAGTACCACTTTATAAAGCCTTAGTAAGACCACACCTAGAATACTGCATCCAGTTTTGGTCACCACATTACAAAAAAAAAAAAAAAATGTTAAGACTTTGGAAAAAGTGCAAAGAGCAGCAACTAAGATGATTAAAGGCCTGAAGACTAAAACATATGAAGAATTGTTCCAGGATTGGGTTTGGCTAGTCTAGAGAAAAAAAGGGCTAGGGTGACATGATAGCAGTGTTCCAGCATTTGAGAAGTTGCCATAAAGAGGAGGGGGTCAACTTATTTACCAAAGCACCTGTAGGCAGGACAACAAAAAATGGATGGAAACTAATTAAGGAGAGAAGCAACCAGGAATTAAGGAGAAACTTCTTAACAATGAGGACAATTAACCAGTGGAACAGCTTGCCATCAGAAGTTGTAGGTACTTCATTACTGGAGGTTTTTAAGAAGAGACTGGACAGTCACTTGTCTGAAATGATATAGGGTCTCCTGCTTGAGCAGGGGGTTTGACTAGAAAATTTCCAATGTCCCTTCCAGTTCTATTCTGATTCTGATTCCTTTCACACACATTCATCCACATAGAAACATCAGTTTTTCAAACCAATTCAATATTATAAAAGTTTTCAAAGACAAAAAATGGATTAGAAAACAAGACTTAAATAATTCTTTGGAAGTACCCAAGCCTTAAACATGTATTGTTTATCTTAATTAACAGGAAAAAAAGAAAAGAAAAGAAACCCCTACATTTGAACTTCAAAGTCATTTTTTGCTAGTATGATCGCCTATATAGAAAATATATCTTCCTATCTTTAGTTCATGCATATATATTTTTTCAGAACAAGTAACAAACACAATTCTTGCCCTGATCTGTTCCTGAGACAATGCACAGCAGAACAGGATGAGAGAAAAGACAAACTTGCTTCATCAGGTTTTCATAGTACAATTCATCTGTTCTTTCAGACATTTAATAAAGAGAATTTTGCTAACCTCCTTAGACAGAGAGATTGGCAGGAAAATGGTGCTAGGTGAAGGTCATGGTTGTATCCAGCAATAAAATAAAAGATGAAAAATTGAAAAAAAATTGTATCTAAAAAGTGGAAGTTTAGTTAATGTGGTTAATTATAATTTTTCGCTTCACATGTTTGGAAGAGTAGATCTCAAAAGAAAGCCTTGATATGTAAGCCATCAAATGTCGACTCCAGTTTTTTTTTTCCTAAAGGATAATCAGGAAGCAGTACCTACTTATCTTCATATAATAATAATAGCCTATCAAATCTCAACCCAGGGAGAGGGAGAGGAGAGGGAGAAGGAGAGGGAGAGGGAGAGGGAGAGGGAGAGGGAGGGGGAGGAGGAGGAGGAGGAGGAGGAGGAGGAGGAGGAGAACAAAATCTCTTCAAACAGAATACTGCAACACTTCTGTATTTCCCGATAATTTATATATTTTCTAATATGTTTTGGCTAGGAGCAGCAGCAATGGTAAGAGCCAAGGGGAATATTTGTTTTCCTTTCAAAGCATCACTTTTTAAAGAACCATAGGTGTCTTGGAAACTAGAATTCCTGAATATTCAACATCTATAGGCACATATCAGGTTCAAAGAACTAGGGGTAAATTCTGAGCCCATGACCCGATTTCTATCTCTTTATGGTGAAAATAGAAAATATAGCTATACTGAATGACTTGGTCATTTATGCTTAATTTAGCTGTGGTTTACTCAAGTAACCCAATTATCCAGAGTCTGCCTTAAATTAATCTTATGAGATGCCTCCATAAAATGCATTGAGCTGAAAAAGAAATATCTAACTATATTTGTCACCATGTTGAGTGAATTCAGCCAGTGAAATGACAGCCATAATTGGCAAGGGAATAATCTGAATAATCAACGATTTTAAGAAAAATATTGTGATTTTTCAAGCACAGAGGCCTTACTCAGATTTCCACACACTGTGCATGTTAACCTTCACTTTTTCTTTCTCTTTTGTCCCCAGCAGATAATGAAGTCTGAATCTATAAAAGAGACCCATGAAAGAGTTTGGAAAGATGTACTTTCCACTGAAATTACACATTGCAAAGGTAGGTGTTATGTATTTAATTTAACACTGATTTTCTTCCATTTTAAAGCCAGAGCCATATCCCACTTTTACAAATACCCCATTCACACCTGGGGTGACACAGAATTTGTCACACATGTAAGTCACACATGCAAGCCTACATTTTAAAAACCTGGACCATGAATGTAGGACACACTTGAAAAATCATAAAAGAAACAGACGCTCCTGTCAGTTACTATGTGTACTTAATAAGATCAGCAACACATTTCTTACCTTCCAATGAAATAATTCAGAAGTTTTCCTTTATGTGAAAGAAGCGAGGAAAAAATGTTTTGCCAGCACAAGTAAAAGAGAGAAATTGGCACAGTATTACGTTGCAGGAGCCCAATGTTTCTGCTTGGAGGTTAGCACCCTGCAGAGACATATTCGATAATCAACAGCTCTCATACTAACAGCAATGCGTGGAAGTATGATCTTTCATAGCAAATAAAGCAATCTTTACAGGCTTAACTTACAACATAAAGGAGAGAGGGCTACAACAAACAGCAAAGGCAGAGAGCTGTATATAAGATGGTTAAGTGATTCTAGGTACGTATCAGAGAAGAAGATGGTTTTTTTTCATTACACACCAATCAAAGCAAAAATGAATAGCTTTTGATGCCTACCTATCTTGGCGTTAGGGACAGAATGGCAAGGGAGTAAGATAAATGTCATTGAAGGGTGAGGGTTCAATATTTTCAGTTTTTAAATTATTTTAATGAGAATTTCTTTACACTTTTTTAAAGCTAGTGTGAAGTCTACATTAGGGCTTGCACTACCTCTGCCTGATTTGGCCTGAAAACCATATAGATAATCATTAGACAGAAGCAAAGTTAGCTTTCTATAGCTCTTTACTTCTAGGTAAACACTGTCTGGATTTATTTGCAGTCTACATCCAATAGCATTAGTTATACAGTAGAATTGGAGAATCCCCTAACTCAACATGGTAGGAAACCTTGCTTTTTAGCCATTTTTATATGGCACGCTGAAGTTTGTCTAAAGAGGGAACGAAAGATCTATATTTCTACATGTGGTACTGAGATCACAAGTTGTTCATTTTTGCCATGACAGTATGACTAGGGCGCTTAAATATTTTCATTTTTCATATAAAATTCACTCTAGAGCAATCTGCTGTTACGAGAAGCTTCAATTTCAGACATAACTATCAAGGTCCTTCCCAAGAGAAAAAAAAATTGTCCTGGGAAGTTAGGAAAGGAGATGCACTTTCATTAGGAAAGTCTCAAGAAGCAAAATGAAGCAAAATTAGTTTTCTTTTCCATGGTTGACCTCACTTAATTGTTCTAATGGCTGGTATGGGATACAGTTGGAAGAACATAAAGTCACCTTATAGGGTAAATGGATGGTACAAAAATTTAATAAATAAAAATAAAATAATAAAATTAAATTAAATTAAAAAATGGAACAGGGGATGGGAAAGTCCCATTAATTTCTTGGCAGAAGAGCAAGATCTATTGCAATCTTCAAAAATTTCATCCATTTATGACCATATGGCAGTTGGGAAAAAATGTAATTTAAATCTCTATTTCTGACACAGAAAAGGAGAATAAGTTGTTTTCCCAGCTCCACTGATCTCGCGGAGCAAGATCCAGATCCAAAGCTTGTCAGTTATGCTGCATTTAAAGCAAAAGAACCTCGTGAATTCACATCAGTAGAAGATCTGAGAGATAGCTGCTTTCATTAAGCAGAGGCAGACATGAAAGCATCACCGTTATCAGATATGAACAAAAAGTAACATTGAGAGGAAGCAAAACTCAAGCTTCAGCTGCCAGGTCCCTGTGTTAAAAGAAATGTGTCTGGTTGCTTTTACATTCTGAAAATCCTTACACATTGTATACGATTTGTAACAATGAAATGAATGGTCAGCCTTCCGCAGAGATAGGTGATTACTTTGGAATTTTGAGACATATCATTCTGAAGAAATAATTGCTCAGGGTTGTTTTCTTTTCCAAAACCTGTCAACCACATAAAAAATAATTGTCTATATGCTGGTGCTGCCAGATACCAACAGGATGATCTCTACCATCCAGCTTATCCTTCTGAGCACATGTGGGTGCTCTCATAAAAAAAAAAAATCACTGATCCAGTCTGGCCTTTGAAATGCACTAATAATGTACTACTGATAGTACCACTGGAGATTGGTGAGGAGGAACTGAATAGAGGTATATACTTTTTTTTATACGCATATACTGCAAGAACTAGTGCAAGTTTAGAAGATGTGGAAAGACCTGGCCCATAGAGTTACCAAGAGTCAGACATGATTGAATGGATATCATCATCATCATCATCAAGAACCTTGATGGTTTCACTCTTAGCAGCAGGCCAAAACACTCTTGGATAAGATAGACTTATCCTCCTTATCTTTAGTACAATCCAGTAGATGAGATGAGACCATTGCAAAGTAGGTGCACTTAATTAGGATTCAGAGCCTGTCTAAGCTAGTTATCCTATGGAATGGAACCAGGATGCAGAAATGATCAGAAGACTGCTGTAAATTTGTTGACTATTCATTATCATCATCATTCCTTGATTGACCAAAGGGCTATAAGATCTTCCTCTTTCCCTCCCTTCCTCCCTCCTTCTTGTATTCCAGAATATTTTTCTCTTGTGTTTGACTGCTGTCATGGTTTATATTATATTCTTCAGTATTCTTTATTTGTTTGTTTATCTATTTGATTTGAATAGCTTGCCTATTTCAGCATTCTTTGACTGCTGCCTTGTGTCATGTGATTATTTTCTTGTACTGCCTTGAAATAAAGTCTTCAATATTCATATTGATATGACCATTGCTTCAAAATCCAAAAAGAACTTGTAGAACCTTGATTTTAGTCTTATCTAGCAAGATATAGGGCAATACACATAATTATATTTATAAATACTGCAGTGATTGTTTCCAAACACAGTGCCTTTCACACTACACTCTCTTTTGATTCAATTTATGAAATAAATAAAAAATATGACTGCTGTGTTATATAGTTGCCCAACTCTAGTAATGTATGTTCTCTTCCATTTAGATTATTATAGTTGGTTACAAGGCTTCATGATGTTCTTAAAATAACATATCTACTTAAAGGAAGAATATATTTGCACTGTACTTGGCCCAAATATGGGAGGAAGAAATCTTTTGCCTGTATCAGCTCAATCTAGAGCCATCCACAGGCAGCAGTCGCTACTGCGACGTCATTTGTGTTTTCCTAAATTTTTTGGATTGCTAACAAAGAATTAATTCTTTGTTAGCAATCCAAAAAATTTAGGAAAACATATATTTATGTTTATATACAGTATATAAATTTCCCACACCTGAAGAAATCTTAAGGTATTTCTGGTTCATTTGCTTTGTATCAAACCCAGGAATATTACTGTTTGGCCACATTCAATCCTGTTCTTAGTTTGGAGAGAAATATATTGTACTTGTTCTACCAAGAAACTGTTATGGATTAGAAACTGCTCAGGAAAATTGGCGAATTACAGTCTTCACTCATCACTATAGATATGGTCAAATTCACAAACATTTCTTTTCTATGTACTTTTTATATATATATACAAACTGTAAAGTTTTTTTTCCAATCTCTAAAAATCTTTTTCAGCAGCATAATTATTTTATATAATCATGGAAACTTTACTGTTTTCCAATGTCCTTATTTTAATTTCATCACAGTATTAACCTCATATAGCAAAATAAACAGTTCATCTGAAGATATAATTGCTATGAGTAAGTTGGAAGTAACCAATTTCTCCCAGGAGTAAGGCATACTCCAAGAGGTTTAATATTTTTTCCAGACATGATATCACAGGCAAGGACTGTGTAGAAGCTGGGAGAAATTCAATGTAGCATTTCCAAATTAACAAAAATCTTCTGCAACAGTAACAGAGATTAATAAATCATTTAATTCAATTGCTGCAGAAAATTTCTCCAACTGTGCAGATCAAAACACCTACTATTCCACTTGAGTCACATAAAAAAAACCAGAAAATAGATTCTAGTAAAGTGTATAAAAATAAATTATTATCCTTAAGATTTAAGGGCCAACATCCTCCAAAGCCAGCTGACAGAACTGATGTTCTTATTGCTAATTACAAAGCTCTTGGCTAAACAGTATTTCTTACCTTTAGTCTATTTGAATTTTTAAAGGCCCATAACAGCCTTTAAACAGCATTGGAACAGATTAATATCATCCATCCTATGTAATTTAGCAAACAAAAATTTCAAAATTCTTACATTTTTCATTTAATGTAGCAAAGCTCCTCTAGTTTTTTTTTTAAAAAAACATGATCAGTTTATATTGTCCCACCAAAAAAGTTAAGTAATATGATAACTCCGGCCTATTGGAATAGCTCAATTCAGTTCTTTAAGGAATCTCTGTGACCACAAGTAATATCATGTTTGTGTTTCAATCATATTGGGGGGAAAATCATACCTAGAAGGATGTAATTTTCTAGTTAATATATCATGCTAAACCCATATTAGGTAGATCTCCACAATATAGTTTTGTGCATTGCCTACTATTATCATCACAGGAAAGCAAGTATCTATCCCCTTTAGTGATAAATGCAACTTCAGGTATAAAAGTAGAAAGAAAGAAAGAAAGAAAGAAAGAAAGAAAGAAAGAAAGAAAGAAAGAAAGAAAGAAAGAAAGAAAGAAGGAAGGAAGGAAGGAAGGAAGGAAGGAAGGAAGGAAGGAAGGAAGGAAGGAAGGAAGGAAGGAAGGAAGGAAGGAAGTAGGTAGGTAAATTTGTTTTCTCTCTTTCCCATATCCATGTTCTTTTAAGCAGAATCACTATTTTGTTTTTACTCCCTCTCTCTTCCATCATTAGTACTGTTTATCCTTTCAAGCGCATCTATTTTTACCTCCATTATTCTTTTTACATTCTTCAGTTCCTGCTACAAAACTCAGTTGAAAATATAAATTCTAAGAAAATCTCTTCCTCAGAAACTGTGTGAAGCCTATTCTCATAAGAAGAGTT